GTTGCGTAAGAAGTGCATAAAAAAAACGCCTATCGTCTCATATCTATGCCTGGCCATGGCAGAAGAGAACACGGACATGTGAACAAGAGGTCGGTGGACCAATACAACCGCAATTGATTTTTATCATTAATGCCCATGTTGAGGGTTAGGCCCCAAAAAAACTTTTAAATTCGGAAACCGTAATGGGTTCCATGCGAATGGTCTGGCAAGGTTTGAATTTGGGTTGGCGGCGATAAATTGTCGTGCTCGATATAAATTGCTTTGATCCACAATCGATGCATAAAGATCTTCTGTGAAAAACAGCTCAAAAAAAATTAAGGGGAGTATTTAAATTTGCTGTTTCCACCTGAATTCCGGGTTGGGCAGTTGAATGGGGGAAGTACGGGTGCTGCAGAATTTGTGGGCTGCCAATCGGGATTTGCAAGCACATCCGGAAGGACACTAGGGGCTCTACGGGCCTGTCTGCGAATTCTTGGTGGCGCGGCGGACACTACTTGTGCTCGCCTACCCGCACCAGCTTGTACTGCACTTATGGGACTCGCCACATGTCACCAAGTGATACTGCAGTGCTGGTATGCCTACGACCAGGACGCTTACTAGGCCGCTGAGTGCTCGCCAGTTCACCAAAAGATACTGCGGCACTAGTACTGGCACTCTGCTGCATATGAGGAGTCATCATGCAATTTGTACCACCTCAGCAACCTGTGAATGGGGATCGGGTACGCCTGACCTTAGCAGGGACCACTTCCTCGTCGTCTGAGCTAGCTGGTCAGGGTGCCGCTGCTGTCTATAGGTTCGTAATTCTGAGCCTGGTTCTGCCAGTGAGTCTTCCCCTTCGCTCTCACTTGACATGCTCAGAATCCTATAGGCCTCTTCACTAGTGTACCTTTGCTTAGACATTTTGGCCACTAAATTTACAGGTACCTAGTGCGACTCACGGGAAAAAAAGAACGCCCTGGCTGTCAGGGACTTCTTGAACCGCTACACAAAATTTACCGACAAGTGCTAACAGATATCAGGCCTGATTCTCTGTGAACACTGCGGTTTTGTGTGTAATATGTATCAAGTGAGAGTTATCTACTGACACTGCACTTGCTGGGGGAGCAGGGGGGGCGTAGGGGCTAAACGCAGGTGTGCTGGCAGGTGTTTGGGGCTCATCCCGCTAACATTGCGTTTTTGGGGATACTAAAAGTAATGTGAATGCTGGTTATAGCGCTGATCTGATCAAAGATATTGATCAATCAGACACTATACTAGCAATGAAGGTTTAGCGTGCAAGTAAGCGTGTTCCTGGCAATCAAGGGGTCAAATGTGATTATTTGTGTACTAGCGGGCAAACTGGTGCTATCTGGGAGGGGCGCTAAAACTATCGGAAGTCACCAGTGACACTAATACAGTGATCAGTAAAAAATTGGTTCACTGATCAGTGACACTGGTGACAGGGCAGTGAAGGGGTCAACTCGGGAGGGGGGGGGGACGATCAAGGGGTTAGACGGGACTACTGGTGTATTAGCGGGCAATCCATGGCGCTATCTGGGAGGGGCACTAACACTAACGGAAGTCGCCAGCGACACTGATACAGTGATCAGTAAAAATTGGTTCACTGATCAGTGACACTGGTGACAGGGCAGTGAAGGGGTCAACTCGGGGGGGGGGGGGCGCGATCAAGGGGTTAGACGGGACTACTGGTGTATTAGTGGGCAATCTGGGAGGGGCGCTAACACTATCGGAAGTCGCCAGCGACACTGATACAGTGATCAGTAAAAATCGCTTCACTGATCAGTGACATTGGTGACAGGGCAGTTAAGGGGTTAACTGGGGGGGGGGATTAAGGGGTTAAATGGCTTTATTGGTGTACTGGCGGGCAAACTGGCGCTATCTGGGAGGGGCGCTAGCACTATTGGAAGTCGCCAGCGACACTGATACAGTGATCAATAAAAATCGCTTCACTGATCAGTGACACTGGTGACAGGGCAGTGAAGGGTTAACTGGGGGGGGGGGGGGGGGGGGGGGGGCAATCAGGGGGTTAAATGTGTCCTAGACTGTGTTCTAACTGTCAGTGTGCTGTTTTACTCACGTTTAAATGTCTCTTCTTCTCTGTCTGGAACGGAATGTGTTCAGGCAGAGAAGAATGACATCATATCCTGTCCTGTGTAAATATCAACACAGGACAGGGACCGATCATCCGATTTCAGCGAGAAAATCACTGGCTGAAATCTAATGATTGATCCCTCCTCGATCGAATCGGATCACCCGCGGGTCGGCGGGAGCGCGCGCGCGCGCGCCCCCTGCCGGCGAAAGTGTCGGGAGTGCGGAACCCGTTTTTAAACGTGGTTTTGCGCTCCACTGCCGCCCTGCACACGTATATACACAGTGGCAGGGCGGCAAGCGGTTAAATTGTTGTTTCTTCTATAGGTGTGTGTAATGGTGGTTGTTTTACATGATTGTATATGTTATGATCACTTTAGAGAATGTAAGAAAGTCTATTGACCATTTTTTTGACACTCTCAAAGAGAAAACGGTGAACCTGCACAAACAGGATTCGGTTGCACACAGGTTCAGCAGAAGCCTGTACATCTATCTTGTTGACTGCTAGTCTAGCCCTCTCTATAACATCCCTAGGGTATCCCCATTTCAAGAATCTGTTTTGTTTTCTCAATCTGGGCATCACGATTGTTGATATCACTGCAGATATGAAAAACCTGCATACACTGTGAAAGTGGGAGATTAACCATGGGGCTTGGGTGAATATTTGTAAATTGTAAGAGTGTTTCTATCGATAGGTTTAGAGTACAGGTTAGTAGGTGCAGTGAAGTCAAGGATCACAATTCTCATATTGAGAAAATTGAAGAGATTTCTAGAATGGGGATACCCAAGGGATGTTCGAGAGAGCCCCAACTAGTGCAATTAACAAACTGGGTGGTATAAAGGCTCCTTCTGGTCCTGTGTGTAATAGAATCTCGTTTGTACCGGTACACCATTTCCTCCCTGACAGTGTTAAAGAAATGGTCAATAGACATTCTTACTTAAGAGTGATCATAATGTATACAACCACAATGATACTCCTATAGAAGTAGTTGCAATTTAAAGGATTTTCTTGTACATGCTGATCCAACTTATTAAAAAAAAAAAGTTTATGTAAGATTTCTGAAAAGACAGGTTGCTACAGATGAAACCGTTGTAAAATATGTAGTGTTCTAAATTGTGGTCCTTTCTTTCTCAACAATACTCTGGATACAAGTATTGCATACAAGAATATTTTAACTATAATGCTGATTGCTGTATTTATATCTTGACATTATTATTATTATTATACAGTATTTACAAAGCGCCAATAGTTTGCTCAGCGCTGTATATTACAAAGGGGGACAGAACATGTGACAGAAACAATACCAATACAATGCAAAACATGAGGGGATTGAGGGCCCTGCTCTTTCGAGCTTACAATCTAGAAGGGAAGGGATAGTGGTACAGGAGGAGATAGCTGTGGGGGGATGGAGTGGTAGGAAGAGTGGAGGAGGTCGGCAAGTTAGCAGGGGGTGGGGTAGGCTTCCCTGAAGAGATGGGTTTTCAGGGTGCGCCTAAAGGAGAGGAGAGTAGGTGATAATCTGATGGGTTGGGGCAGGGAGTTCCAGAGGATGGGTGACACCATGTCACTGTTCCCTCATGTATGTGGGGAAAAAAGCTATTGGTCATTTTCAGTGGTGTTTACAAAAACATCACAGTGACATCGGGGTGGCCCTTAAAAGCCACTGTCTGCAGAAACCTATCAGTCCCTACAAACCAGTAGCTGTACACTTTGTGTAGACACATGACCTAGTGGCATGAAGTTGGACCGTATACTTCAATTCATGGAGGCAACAGAAATTGCTGGCACACATTTAGTTTATTATATATATGTTATCTCTTAGGTTGTAAGCTCCAAGGAGCAGGGCCCTCCTAACCCTCTTGTATTGAACTGTATTGTTGCTGTATTGTCTCCCTTTATATTGTAAAGCGCTGAGCAAACTGTTGGCTCTATCTAAATCCTGTATCACAATAATAACAGCCAAAATGAGTTGAGTACAGAGCCGTAAAAAAATAGAAATTTTTACATTTGAGTGCAGTAATTTACTCACATGTGCATGGTTACGTGAGTATAAATGAGTATATTACAACACTGGCAATGTAAAAGAAATTTTACCTGTCTATAAACTTATGCACCTTTACACACCTATACTCAACATTACTCAGGTCTTTACACACAGTTTTTTACTCGGGGGCGTTCTGTCAACATGTTCCTGAGTAAACATTAGTAAATTATGATGTCCGTGTGCAAGGCTTTTCTTCCACTTCTTCCACAAATTTATCTCACAGACAGCAGTTATACAGAGGGTGAGCCTCCCAGCAGGGACACAGACAGCAATAAATACCTCAGAACAAATCCATCCAGCACCAAAGCCTTATTCCGACTCTCCTGTTGTTAGGCTTAGACTTAGCCTTTACTTCCACTTTAATGGGCACATCAAAATTAGTTTCCCTGGGTTGTAATGCCTGGTACACAAAAAAAAAAAACCTGAAGTGCTCGGGTGGAGCTCGCTGTACTAACTATCCGACCTTAGTACAGCGATCTCCCCACTGACATAATTGTGTTCTGATGGGAATACTCTCCTGCCAAAACACACTGGTCCGCTTTTGCAGCCATTGACTGCCAGCACTGATCAGGTACCAATTGGATGATGGTTTTCCAGCATGCCCATTCAACAGAAGCCAGCCATTCGGACAGCTTCTGTAGGGCAGGCGGATGTACACGTGGTCCGAATGTTAACCGGTTTCTATTGAACTGGCTGATACTGGCCGATAATCAGCCCCTGTGTATGGGGCTTAACCACCTCCCTCCCGCCATATAGTAATATGACGGGCGCAAGGTGGTTCTCTCGTTCTGGGAGGATGTCATACGACATCCTCCCATTCTCACTGCGCATGCGCGGTTCAGGGAGCACGCAGCGCAGCGATCGACGGTGCGCTGTGTCCCCCGGACACAGCGGATCACCGATCACGGAAAGAGCTGAAGATGTCGGCTCGGTCATGTGATCAGCTGTGTCCAATCACAGCTGATCACATGTAAACAGGGAAATGCCGGTTGTCTGCATTTCTCTCCTCTCGAGCTGTCACGCTGACAGAGGAGAGGAGAGCCGGTAATCGGCTTTCCGCGGAGGGGACATGTACACTGATCATCAGGGCACTGATTATCAGTGTGCCCTGATGATCAGTGTAGCCCCTGCAGTGCCACCTGTCAGTGTTCATCAGTGCCTTGTGCCAGTTCCCATCAGTGCCTACCAGTGCACAGCAATGCCACATATAAGTGCCCATCTGAGCTGCCTTTCAGTGTCACCAATCAGTGCCAGTCAGTGCTGCCTATCAGTGCCAGCCAGTGCTGCCTATCAGTGCCAGTCAGTCCCGCCTATCAGTGCCATATATCAGTGCTGCCTTTCAGTGCCCATCAGTGATGCCTGTCAATGCCCATCAATGCCACCTACCAGTGCCACCTATCAGTGTCCATCTGTGCAGCCTATCAGTGCCCATCATTGCAGCCTCAGTAGCGCACATCAGTGAAGGAGAAAAATCACTTATTTACAAAATTTTATAACAACTAAGAAAAAACATTTTTTTTTTCAAAATTTTCAGTGGTTTTTGGTTTGTTTAAGAAAAAAAATAAAAAAACCCAGAGGTGATTAAATACCACCAAAATAAAGCTCTATCTGTCACAAAAAATGATAAATAATTTCATATGGGTACAGTGTTGTTTGACTGCACAATTGTCATTCAAAGTGCGACAGCGCTGAAAGCTGGAAATTGGCCTGGGCAGGAAGGGGGTATAAGTGCCCTGTAGGCTAGTGGTTAAAAGGGAAGTATGGCATTGCTTTAGGATTTTAAAAAAAAAAAAAAAAATTACCTAGGTGGATGCAGCATTGGTCCAATTCTGCATCTGTCCCCCGTCAGCTCTAATCACATGATCGCCGAGTTCTTACAGCCGCACTGAGCAGAAAGCCGTGACTGTCAGTCTGGTCTGTGCACCCTCCCTCCCCCCATGCTTATTGGGGCTCTGGACTGTGGAGGGGAGGGAGCGGCTGGCTCAGGCTCTCAGCAGATTGCTGAGAGGCTGAGCTAGGTGTTGCTCCAGACTCTGGGAGGGATTCGGACTTTAAAGTTGGGATCTTTCCCCAGCCTGGACTGGCTGAGTGACGTCAGCCGACAGCAGGCTCCAGCTTGCTGTTGGCTGAAAACGGGTCACAGGGGTGCAGAGTGCACTGCACTCTTGTGATCCACAGAAGTACAGCCAAAACAGCTTTCCCTATACTCCTTTAATAGAAGAGAGATGTAACTCATGGGACATAGATTGTAAACAAGAAAAAATCTGGTTTTAAATACAGTCATGGCCAAAAATATTGGCACCCCAGCATTTCTGTCAGATATTGCATCACTTCGCCCATAAAATTGTTGCAATTACAAATGTTTAGGCATTCTCATGTTTATTTCTTTTGTTTGTATTGGTATGACACAAAAAGTGGAGAAACAAAAATCCAAATTGGATACATTCCACACAAAACCCCAAAAATGGACTGGACAAAAAATTGTGATGCTCCTGTAATTTGTAATGCCTTAACAGGTGCTGACAATATAGAAATCAAAATGGCAGCCAGTTATAATGGTCAAAAATTTACTCAACTTTTCTGTGACCCAGAATCAGTCGACAGCAGGCTAAAGCCCACTCCCTTCTGATGTCACAGATCTGCTCCAGGCAATGTTGGGATCCACTTAGATGCCTGATTGGCACTTGGAACTGCCCCTCAGCATGCTACTCCCACCACGTCTCCAGCTCAACGCTTCAGTGAGAGCTGGAGAGGCAGGGCAGAGAGCGGTCACTGACAGTCACCACTCTGCTCAGTGAAGACTGAGAACTGAGCAATTGTTGGTCATGTGATCGCTCAGTTCTTCATCATACAGCTGGTGGTGAACAGCTTCAGCATCAGACTGATGCTGTAGTGGGGAGGTGAGTATAGATGTGTTTTTTTGTATTCCCACATGTCTCCTTTAGCCCTGGTTCACACTAGCGTGACAACATGAAAGCCGCTGCAATTTCCAGACGATTTTGCTGTACGACTCTCAGCTACATGGTGTGACTTCAAAGCAATTTTTAAAGTCACTTTACTGGTAAGAAGCATTCTTATACAACTTTGATGTATCAGTGGGGTTTTTTTTTTTTTTTTTTTAAGTCTCACCTCTCCTCCCTGGTCATCCTTGCTGCTACAAAAACTTCCTTCTGAGTGTAGCACAAATGTGTGTTCCAACTTGTGTTTTTTTGCACAGTTTTCAAGCATAAAAGTGTGTCGCCCATACAGCCCGTTCCCTTCAATTGGCTGCCCTTTGCGAGACAAATGCCCCAAAGTAGCTCTAGATGGTTTTGAATCATGGAGTGTCATGTTTTTTCAGTGTGCTTTTTGTCTTGTGCCAAAAATACTCATCTGCTAACCATGATTGGGGTGTAATTAACAATTAGGCTGCATTTACATCTGCATGTTTCTGAATGCGTGGCAACCCACACAGAAAACGCATGCTTTGCCTCACTGCAAACGCGCATTGTGCTTGCGTCGCCGTAATGACAAAGCAAGTGCGATGCGCGTTTCTGAAACGCGTGGCAACGCGCATGTTTACTGTGCAGGTTTCCACACATTCAGAAATGCACAGATGCAAACATAGCCTACATAACGCAAGTGTGATGCGTGTTGCCTCGCATTTTTTGAAACACACAGCAAAGCGTGTTTTCTTGCAAGTTGCCATGAGTTCAGAAATGCATAGATGCGATTGAATGGTAACGCAAACACATTGCTGCGCGTTTTCGAGGCGCTAACCAATGTGTGTGTTTTCTTGTGGGTTGCTGTTCATTAAAATATACGTAGATGCAAATGAACGGCATCGCAAGCGTGATGTGTGTGTGTGTGTCTGTAAACATGCAGATGTTAATGAATGGTAATGTACCTGATGCCGGTCCCTAGGCACATATACATGCGAGTGCAGTATAATTGTTAGGTTTATATGACTGAATAAAGTTGGCTGCTTTGCCCAATGAACCTTTCCCCTGATACTGTTTTTTGAGTGGCAGTGCATTGCACGGAAAGAAATCACATTTCTGGTGAATGGTCACGTTGGTGACAAGACACAGAGTGGGTCCAACCAATAAAAACGCAGTAAGACATATCTAATAATAGAAGATCCATCCATTGTGGTGAGTGCAAATCCATATGGGGGCCACCTGGAGTACCTGGAAGTGGTCACCTGTTTTTTTCTGTTCCTAATGGTACCAGCACTTGTTCACCTATCTTTTGGCTTTCAAGCAACTAATATTTGAATGGGACTTACTGATACATTGGACGTTATTTATATTCTCTTGTGTTGTCCATTTTATATAATTTTTTTTCTATTTATTGCATTTTCACATGTGGCAAATTAAGTAATTCTGATTCACATTTTTGGCAGCACAGTCTACAGTTGCAAGAAAAAGTATGTGAACCCCTTGGGATTACGTGGAGTTTTGCATGAATTGGGCATAAAATGTGCTCTGAACATCATCTAAGTCACAACAATAGAAGAACACAGTCTGCTGAACATAATACTACACAAACATTAGATGTTGCCATGGTTTAATTGCACAGAACATGTAAACATTCACAGTGCAGGAAGGAAAAAGTATGTGAGGCCCTAGCTTAATGACTTCTCCCAGAGCTAATTGGAGCCAGGAGTGAGCCAACCTTGACTCCTATATCAGTGTGATGATATTGGATGTGTTGCTGACAGCTGTCCTGCCCTTAAAAAACACACACCTGTTTTGGGTTTACTGGTTTCAAGAAGCACTGTCTGATGTGAACCATGCCTCACAGAAAAGAGCTCTCAGAAGACCTACGATCAAGATTTGTTGACTTGCATGAAGCTGGAAAGGGTTACAAAATTATCTCAAAAAGCCTTGATGTTCATGTGTCCACAGTAAAACAGACTGTCTACAAAAGGAGAAAGTTTAGCACTGTGGCTACTCTCCCTAGGCGTGGTCGTCCTGTAAAAATGACTGCAAGAGCACAGCGCAGAATGCTGCATGAGGTAAAGAAGAATCCCAGAGTGTCAGCTAAAGACCTACAGAAATCTCTGGCACATGCTAACATTTTTGTTGACACATCTACAATAAGGAAAACATTAAACAAGAATGGAGTACATGGGAGGACACCACGGAGGAAGCCATTGCTGCCCAAAAAGAATATTGCAGCACGTTTGAAGTTTGCAAAAGAGCACCTGGATGTTCCACAGCACTACTGGCAAAATATACTGTGGACAGATGAAACCAAGATTGAGTTGTTTGGGAAGAACACACAACACTATGTGTGGAGAAAAAAAGGCACAGCACACCAACATCAAAACCTCACCCCCACTGTAAAACATGGCGGAGGGAGCATCATGGTTTGGGGCTGCTTTGCCACCTCAGGGCCTGGACGGATTGTTGTCATTGATGGGAAAATGAATTCCAGAGTTTATCAAGACATTTTGCAGGAAAACGTATGACCATCTGTCCGCCAACTGAAGCTCTGCAGAGGATGGGTGATGCAACAGGACAATGACCCAAAGCATACAAGTAATTCAACAAAACAATGGCTGCAACAGCACAGAATACGCCTTCTGGAGTGGCCCAGTCAGAGTCCTGACCTCAACCCGATTGAAATGCTGTGGCATGACCTTAAGAGAGCGATTCACACCAGACATCCCAAGAATATTGCTACACTGAAACAGGTTTGTAAAGAGGAGTGGTCCAAAATGACTCCAGATCGTTGTGCAGGTCTTTTTTTTTTTATAATTTAAGCATTTATTAAATTTTTCATGTTAATACAAAAAAAAAACAAACCCAACAAGGGAAATAATTCTCATACAAACAGACTTTTATAACATTTCTACCTTTCCCTTGCTAAAAACTCTTTTCTTTCCCATCCCACTACCCCCCCTTTCCACCCCACATCCCCCCTCCTCCCCCTCTGCAGACTCTAACCCAATCTGATCTCTTGAGGCTTGTTGATTTTTTGCTAACATCCTAGTTCAAATTTTCCTATATTTCTCTTTCAATCCTGCTCTTTCCCACTTTTCCCATCTCCTAAAATAAACTCTCATCCTATCTTCCTGCATATGGTATGTTCTTTCCATTTTACTTATCTGGTTTACTCTATTGATCCAGTCTTCCTCATTCGGTACCTCAACTTTCCGCCAAAACTTGGGTATCAACCCCTTCGCCGCATTCAAGAAGTACCAAATACCTGAATCTTTATATTTATTTACAGATGTCTCCACATTGTGTAGGAGGCACGTCGTTGGGTCTAACCCTATGTCAATTTCAGTTATTTCTTTAATCAATTTGACTATTATCTTCCAAAAAGCCTGGATTTTCGGACATTCCCACCAAACGTGAAACA